AGAGAGAGAGAGAGAGAGAGAGAGAGAGAGAGAGAGAGAGAGAGAGAGAGAGAGAGAGAGAGAGAGAGAGAGAGAGAGAGAGAGGGGGAAGGGGAGGGAGGATTGCATTTCGAGGGGCAGAACACAGGGTTTGAGGGAGGTTAGTGATGGTCCTCGTGTTGTTTTTACTGACCTCAACAAAAAGTCTGAAGTTTTTTACAGAAGGCGATCGACAACGGCCATCAGATGGAATCCAGAATCTTGTGACGCCAGCTAGCTGCAATATCCAGTCATCACATGATTTGACCAAATTCAACATCCCAAAAAAATCGCCACCATGAGCTAGGCTACCAGAATGGCGTGGGATCACTTGCCCGCCAAAAAAAAATAGATTTTTTTCAAATTTTGGTTTTTTAAACTTTTTTTTAATAAAACAATTTTTATTTTTATTTTCATTTTTATTTTAATTTTAAATTAGGTAAAGAATTTCGATGTGATCCTGAGGAGTTGTTTAGTTTATTTTTCTGCATAACATAGTTTTTCTTTTCAGAGTTTTGAAGTTTTTGGATTTCTTGTTGCTGTTTTTTTTTGGCTGGGACCTTCCCTGGTGCTTGCACGGCCGGGGCGCCCAGGAAAACAGGGTGACCCGGGTGGCCCGGCTGGTAGCCTACGGTCCACGAGTAATTAACAACTTTTTTTTTTTCCTTTTTTAAGGAGAGCCCCATCTATTCCGGGGGGCAACAGTCCGGTTGCTTATCACCAGCGAGCAGATGTTCAAGATAGTAGAAACGAGGAGATGGAGATAGCTCAGATGAAGCAAGGCCAGCCTACTGCCCCTGCCACACGAGACGCTTCGCAGGGCAGGCAGGGGTGGCAGTTCTGTGAGCCATTACTTGTCCGTCCCACCAGCTCTCCCATAATGGCCAGGAAACATCCTCGCTGTACCCAGACACACATTACGGGGGCCCAAGGGGGACAACACCAGTTCACAGGACTGCGCCTCCAGTCTCTACACCTCCCGTCTCAGTTCCCCTCACCCTCCTATACCCCGACCATCTGAGTTCTGGTCCCTCAATTCTCCCCCTATACCTCTACCAACAGGACTTTAACCACATCTGTTCGTCGAACTTAGTCCCATAACTTCTCAACTCCCCCCTTTACTGCCTACCACTTGGCATACACCTCACTAATTGCCAACCAGGCCCTCTCCTTTCCACTCTCCAAGGGCAAGTCCATATCAAGCCCCCTCTTTTCCAATGACAACATCACAGCACCCTCCTTACCCTTCAATTTTCACCTTGTTACTTAAGCCTCCCAGCATTCTTCGTAAAGGTTGCCAAATTTTATACTACTCCCCAGTGCGTACGGTACCATCCGAGCCCGTCGTCCCCAATTAGTACCATTCCCGCCAACCGTCCCCCTATCAGGGCTATCCCCTACTCTAGTTATAGGACAAGCTAACGTATACTATACCCTTACTCCAGCCTCCTCCTAGCGCCTCCCCTACACGTAGCTATGGTACAAGGTGACCTGGAGCCTATTCTTCCTCACTCACGACGTGCTTCTGCAATGTAAGGCCCAAGACCATTCTACCAGTTACCGGGTCCTTCATAACCAGCCCGGGATAGTCCCCCCCAAATCCTCCAAAGCTTGTCGTCGTTGATCCCCAATTTCCGCTTACTCCTAAGTTGATCTAGCAGGATTGCCACCCAGAGGTTCTCCACGACCCTTGGTCTCACGACCGACATAGTCGCCTCCTTCCCTTGACGGATTCTTTCGTTCACGAGCGTCCAGATTGCCCAGAGCACCACCGCCCTCACCACTTCTGCTGCCAAGAGCTGGTCCTTTTCCTTCCTATCCACAGTCATTAATGCTCCCTCCGATTACACCTCTATAGATCCACAAGAATGGCCACCCAGAGGTTCTCCATGACCCTGCCTCTCACAACCGGCATGGTCGCCTCCTTCCCTTGGCAGATTCTTTCATTCCTGAGCGTCCAGATTGGCTAGAGCACCGCCGCCCTCAACACTTCTGCTGTCAAGAGCCAGTCCTTTCCCTTCCTATCCACATTCATTAATGCTCCCACCGATTACCCCTCTGTCGATCGACCATGATGGCCACCCAGAGGTTCTCCATGACCCAGGGTCTCAACGACCGGCATAGTCGCCTCCTTCCCTTGGCGGATTCTATTGTTCCTGAGCGTCCAGATTGCCCAGAGCACCGCCACCCTCACCACTTCCGCGGCAAAGAGCCGTTCCTTTTCCTTCCTATCCACACTCATTCATTCTCCCATCGATTACCATTCTAGATCCCCCAGGATGGTCAACCAGAGATTCTTCAGGACCCAGGCTCTCACGACGCGCATAGTCGCCTCCTTCCCTTGGCGGATTCTTTCCTTCTTGTGCGTCCAGATTGCCCAGAGCACCGCCACCCTCACCACTTCCGCTGCGAAGAGCCGGTCCTTTTCCTTCCTATCCACAATCATTAATGCTCCCATCGATTACACCTATGTAGATCCACCAAGATGGCCACCTAGAGCTTCTCCACGACACTCGCTCTCACGACCGGCATAGTCGCCTCCTTCCCTTGGCAGATTCTTTCGTTCCTAAGCGTCAAGATTACCCGGCGCACCGCCACCCTCACCACTTCTGCTGTGAAGAGTCGATCCTTTTCCTTTCTATCCACATTCACTAATGCTCCCACCAATTACCCCTCTATAGATCCACCAGGATGGCCACCCAGGGGTTCTCCACGACCCTGCCTCTCACGACCGACATAGTCCCCTCCTTCCCTTGGCGGATTCTTTTGTTCCTGAGCGTCCAGCCCAGAGCACCACCACCCTCACCACTTCTGCTGCAAAGAGCTGGTGCTTTTCCTTCCTATCCACAGTCATTAATGCTCCCATTTCAATTACATCTCTGTAGATCCACAAGAATGCCCACCCAGAGGTTCTCCACGACCTTGCCTCTCACAACCGCCATAGTCGCCTCCTTCCCTTGGCGGATTCTTTCGTTCATGAGCAGCCAAATTGGCTAGAGCACCGCCACCCTCACCACTTCTGCTGTCAAGAGTCGGTCCTTTTCCTTTTTATCCACATTCATTAATGCTCCCACCGATTACCCCTCAGTAGATCCACCAGGATGGCCACCCATAGGTTATCCACAACCCTGCCTCTCAGGACCGGCATAGTCACCTCCTTCCCTTGGCGGATTCTTTCGTTCCTCAGCGTCCAGATTGCCCAGAGCACCGCCGCCCTCACCACTTCTATTTTGACAAGTCAGTCCATTTCCTTCCTATCCACAGTCATTCATGCTCCCACCAATTACCCATCTATAGATCCACCAGGATGGCCACCCAGAGGTTCTCCACTACCCTGCCTCTCACGACCGGCATACTCCCCTCCTTCCCTTCGCAGATTCATTCATTCTTGAGCGTTCAGCGCAGTGCACCACCGCCCTCACCACTTCTGCTGCAAAGAGCTGGTCCTTTCCCTTCCTATCCACAGTGGTTAATGCTCCCTCCAATTTCACCTCTGTAGATCCACAAGAATGGCCACCCAGAGGTTTTCCACGACCCTGCCTCTCACAACCGGCATAGTCGCCTCCTTCCCTTGGCGGATACTTTCGTTCCTGACCGTCGAGATTGGCTAGAGCACCGTCGCCCTCACCACTGTTGCTGTCCAGAGCTGGTCCTTTTCCTTCCGATCAACATTCATTAATGCTCCCACCGATTACCCCTCAGTAGATCCACCAGGATGGCCACCCAGAGGTTCTCCACGACCCTGCCTCTCACGACCGGCATAGTCGCCTGCTTCCCTTGGCGTATTCTTTCGTTCCTGAGCGTCCAGGTTGCCCAGAGCACCGCCGCCGTCACCTCTTCTCCTGTGAAGAGTTGGTCCTTTTCCTTCCTATCCAGAGTCATTCATGCTCCACCGATTACACCTCTGTAGATCCGCCAGGATGGCCACCTAGAGGTCCTCCATGACCCTCTGTCTCACGACCGACATAGTCGCTTCCTTCCCTTGGCGGATTCTTTCGTTCCTGAGGATCCAGATTGCCAGAGCACCGCCGCCCTCACCACTTCTGTTGTCAAGAGACGGTCCTTTTCCTTCCTATCCACATTCATTAATGCTCCCACCGACTACCCCTGTGTAGATCCACCTAGATGGCCACCCAGAGGTTCTCCGCGACCCTGCCTCTCACCACCGGCATAGTCGCCTCCTTCGCTTGGCGTATTCTTTTGTTCCTGAGCGTCTAGTTTGCCCAGAGCACCGCCGCCCTCACCACTTCTGCTGTGAAGAGTCGGTCCTTTTCCTTCCTATCCACATTCATTCATGCTCCCACCGACTACACCCGTCTACCAGGATGGCCACCCAGAGGTTCTCCATGACCCTGGGTCTCACGACCGACATAGTCGCCTCCTTCCCTTGGCATATTCTTTTGTTCCTAAGCGTCCAGATTGCGCAGACCACGGTCGTCCTCACCACTTCCGCTGCAAAGAGCCGTTCCTTTTCCTTCCTATCCACACTCATTAATGCTCCCAGCGATTACCTTTGTAGATTCCCCAGGATGGTCACCCAGAGGTTCTCCGGGACTGTGGCTCTCGCGACGCGCATAGTCGCCTCCTTCCCTTGGCGGATTCTTTCCTTACTGAGCGTCCAGATTGCCCAAAGCACCGCCGCTGTTGCATACTTGTGAAACATAGTCATAAGTATGGCGCAGATTCCCAGAACCGACCAGATAATACAAAGTTGATACAAATACAGCGGAAGGGCATGATACCTTTGGATTGACTCAGACTTGACTCGGACTGCAATCGAACAACTCTCATACATTCATCGGGTGTGAATGCCCTGGCCTTGAGAAGAGACGAAGGGCCAGGGACTGAAATCATAC